TGATTTATGACGCGACCGGCGGTGACGGCTGCTGCAAAGCATCCGAAACGTCGGGCCGAAGTTAAAAATAATTTCCACCCAATAAGTTTAACTAATATATCGCGTTTTAAACCGTTGAAGTGTTTTATTTAAACATTTATTCCTTTTAAAAACACGCGCTACTGATTATTTTTGGGCCCCTGCAAAAAAAAAGTTTTTTTTTTTATATGAAATTTTATGTACCCATGTTCGTATGTCTATGTTTGTGCAATAAAGAGTTTATTATTATTATTATTTTTATACAAACAAATGAAATTCAATGTATCTAATGTCTGTGGCTGCGCGGTTTATATGTATACCTACCCGCGCCTACAACCCGCCCAGCCAGTTTTCGACATGATTCTTTAAATTAGCATAACTTCTTTATTTATTAACTTTATGAACCGGTTGACATGACCCAAACAATAAATGTTGAGTAGAGCTTAACACAACATATTACTAAACGGCACCTAGACCAGATAGGCCGTTTTTGGGTTTGTCTTGCACACACGCAAAGACTAACAGATAAGAAATCCAAATATCATTGTTTAGTACTATTACGTAAATAAAGTTGTCGGTTATGTTTTTATCATATATCACACATGTACAGATGGCGATCGTGATGTATACATAGATTCGGCTGTTGTAAACAACGTGAAAGTCCAATTTAATTTCCCCTTATATCTCATTACTGTTAAAATTATTCTGTCTATGCGTCATCGCAATTTAATTTCTTTGGCTCTTATTAAAACTAACGAATGGCACATGAGGGCGGCATTAAGCCAATTAATGTAGATATTCAAATGTTACAACTCAAACTATATTCTACTCCCGTTAGTTTATTAATGTGTACTACTAGCGTAAACTACAGATAATATTTTCTACTACTGTTATGTATATTTATTTTATCGCCGGATTAATATTTATATATTATTATAACCATTATATTTACAAAACTATACATATTTGTAGTTATATGAGTTATCAAAATATGACCCACTATTTGATACACTAGATGATATAAGTAAATAAAGGGGAATTGGTCGCTAAGAAGCTATTCGTATCGGTACCCCGGCGCAAGGTTGGGTCAACGACCTCAACGTCGTTGCCCCACTCAACGCGATCTTACTGTATTGGATACTTGCTGCATGGACTATCCAATTGTGTTTCTGTGCTATTTTTAGTCTGTATAATGCCTCTTAATACTGGCTAAATAACTTTAGAAACAAATGAAACCTTCGTATGTGTGCGTGTTTTTATCGAACTCATACGAACGGAGGCTAGCTTTAACTAGCTTTGTAAGTTGTTAATATAAGTTGTTTTATAACAAGATTAGTAAGCTCGGCGTCCGCTTTTACGTTGGTGGTTATGAGTGGATTTTATTCTAGTAAGCTGTGTCTTGGAAGGTTGTTCCCAAAGTAATGTTCCCAATGTCACGTTGAATGCTCTACAAAAAAATATTTTATTTATTTATTTAATATAATAAAAATATAAAATGCAGTGTTCTACTACTACCAGAGTATATCTATTGCGATAAAAATTCCAACGAATACCATATCTCATAGTGATGTTTTTGTTATTTTTTAGGCAATATGCAAAATTTTTAAAAAACACTGCTTGAACTCAAACCACCTAATATTGAAATAATTAACGAATTACAAACATTTTCCTCTGCTCACACAATGTACAGTAATATATAAAGCTGAAGAGTTTGTTTTTTGTATGTTTAAACGCACTAATCTCAGGAACTACTGGTTCGAATTGAAAAAATATTTTTGTGTTGGTTAGAGCATTTATGGAGAAATGCTATATGCAATATTATAACATTGCGCTGCGACCAATAGCAGCGAAACAGTGGGAAATGTTAAAAAAGAAACGCGGAAAATGATTCATCTTTGTGGGTTTCCGTTGCGTACGCCGCGAAAACGGTTCGCGATACATACAATACAAATATGTATAATGATGATTCTTATTTGAACGATCTAAAAAAAAATGTACGCGACACTGTATATCTATCTCTTTTAAGATTTAGTTTCAAGAAGGACGGGACGCGGGCGAAGTTGTGGGTAAAAGCTATAATTTTAAAGATAGGTTTCCAAAAACAAATTTTGATGGCTAAAATAACTCTTCTACGCGGCCAGTCGTTATTTTTCTAGCGATTGTAAGCCACATTAGAAGTTTAAACTTTATTTGATATTGATACCGTAAATGTTATATTCATTGACAACGACATAGGCATTTGTTTTTATACTTTTTTTTATATTTAGACTGGACATCTGCGTATTAATTAAACATGGCGAGATTCAGGTCATTGCACACTTAAGTGATCAATCTGCTCAGAAAAACATCTTGCTCCTCCGCCCTTTCTCCAGATAACCCGTTCGCCCTAAAATATTGTTTACTAATTTCTCATTGCGTTGACTGTCCTTTATAACAGTGGACTTATAAAACATGCAGTTGCATTAAATTATTTCAACAAAAAAAAAAATTAATATTAAATTTTTGGGTTATTTTTTAATTACTTAAATTATTATTCAAAAATTTTACGACACGGGCAGGTGTTGAACCGGAATCTACAGGTTTCGTTCTGCCACACTAAACAATTGAGCTACAGCTGTGCGCTGTTTTGCAAGTAAAGAAACATAATTTGTAATATAGACTTTCTAGAATTTCTGATGATATACCTATTAAAGACAATAACAGATGACAGACAAAGCATTTAAAAATAATAATATTCTATATGAATTGGAGGACTGAAAAAACATAGATGGAAGTATTCGAAACAAAAGGTATCGGTGCTTTACGAAATGCTGAACTTCCTAAAAAAATATTAACTATTAAAAAAAATAGCCATACGTGAAAAATTAAAAAAAAACTGCTATGCTTAATAAATACTTTACGATCGATCGTGTTTATATTATGTTAATTTCAACCAGATAAATTAAATGACGCCGTGCAAGAATTTTTAGTACGTACAAAGCAAGCTTGCATTGAAACGTAGTCAATCTTAGTCGGACTGTACTCACGCGTGACTAGGGTTGCATTTGCATATAAATAATCTTAACACCTCATATATAAAATTCTCGATTCATAATGGCTAGGTATAAGAAACGGCTAGGTACTACGTACTATTTTTTTGTACTAAAGTTTGCCCATTTCTGACGGTATTTAGGTATTTGCATGTGTAATTCAAAAATACATTCAACAGTTATTCTGACACTTACTTTATCAAACCCTATTTTTAATAGTATTTCTCATCGTTCCCCGTTACAGCGATTCGTATTTTTCAACTTTACAATTATAAGGCAAAGTAATGTTTACCAGTCCAATCAAATTACGCGAATGCTGAAATGCCACAAAACGAAACCTCGTAAAAGTCCCGGTCTAGTTTGAGCCACAGTACCTACACGTGTCTTGTTTTAGACGGCACATTTAGTTTCAAATTAAAAGTTAAAAAACTCCGACGCTCCTACCCGCAACATCTGGCCGCCAGGCCACGTCTTGTCTCTTTTTTATATGACCAAGGATCCCGCGTTATTATAAAACTTTAAATAATTATTAACTAACTAAGTTAGTTTAACGTTCGCGAGTCTGCAAGAGGAACTTAATATGGAACAACTTATTAGTGTGAGCTATTAAAACATCTTGGTTCCATATTAAAGTGTGGTTGTGCCATTCCAGTGCGTTCTATTGATATCCGCTACATATCGAGAATGTTAATGAGTAGAAAATTAGCTCTCTGCAATACTAATGTAGCTACTTTGACATGAAAACAATGAACACCTATACATTGGTACAATAGCTTGTTGTTTCAATGCAGCAAAACGAATAGACAATGCAGCGCTGAGGATCTCCTTACATTCGCACGATCGTTGAAAAGAGAGGTGTGTTGGAATTCTGAAAATGCCCATCCTTGTATTTGCTAATCACCTCCAATCATATATAATTTATTGTAAGCAAGTGGGAAATTAAGATCACGTCAAAATGTCTGAGCGTAAATTATACATTTAGCAACTGAATCTGGTGTGAAAACTCTACAACTGATAGACCTATTAAGTTGGAGGTAGATAAATTCATAACTTTTGTAAATCTTTCTTGGTTACCTCCCTCTTTCAACTAAATGACATTGTAGGTATCTAACGTATAACAATAACAAGAATAACTTAAGTTCAGCAAATTTAATTAACTTATATACCTGATTGTACTTGTAAATTTTTAAGCCATTAAAGTACAATAAATCGATTATTGTAGAATCCACCTAGGATATAGGTTTGCTCTTCTCTTCTAAAACTGAGAACAAAATAGTTGGTATGTAGGTATACTCTCAAAAACTTATTAACATTTCATTAGCTAATAGCTATATTTTCTCTTTCTCACACTAATAATGTAATATTTTAACAATAGAGATGGAACAAGCTCATTAGTGAACCAGAAAGTGAATAAGAGCTTTAAGTACTGATAAGAGTTCATTGTCTTTCGTCAAGAGGCTCATTATTCCCATTCAGAACAGAGAGATTATTACAAAACTGCATTTTCTTAAATGTGTTAATTTAATTCAGCCTTACTAGGTACCATTTTCGAACGAATTTTAAACCTAAAAACGAACAATTAGTGCTTAAAATTATAATCGATTAAAAATTAACTCTGACATATGTGCACGATGAAGAACACTTTAAATAATATGTTAGTCCGTAAAAAGTACGAAGAAAGATCGTCATGAATATTTCGCATGGCGGGATTCGCTGCAGCTCTACACAAAACAAAACATATCACGAACATTTCCTGCCTTTCGACTCAATCTGTATCGCCCCTACAGCTTATTTCGCGGAATGCACCCAAAATTACCACGCCCACATTAAAAAGGAATTCAAACATGGAATGTCCGATCGATGCGCAAGCAATCACCAAACACTAAATTATAATTACAGTGTCTCTGAACAGTGTCAAAGTTTGGGCTAATAAATTATTAACAATGCACTTACCTCGTATTTGATGCCGGCTAAACGAAGCCACGTTTCGACTTTCAAGCAGTAGGGTGAAGTCGACGGCAGCAATGGCGTCCTGGAGAACTGGTAGAGATAGACGACATCTCGCTGGAAGTTGGCCTTGTGAACATTCAGTTTTGGCTGAGCCGGCTCAGATTTCTTTTCCTCGGCCACTTTTTCGTCTGCTTTCTCCGCCGAAGCCGCTTCCTCTTTTGTCTGATTTTCCACCGGCGCTTCTTCCTTCGATGCCTTCTCCTCCGTAGCGCTTTCGGGAGCGTTATTCACAGCTTCTGTGGCCATTATTCTTATTTAATCACAGATTTAACACTTGACCAGATAGATGCGTTTGCGTCTTTGTTCAAGTTTATTGACCGTTAGGATATCGCGCGCGATACTTTACGATGACAACCGCCGCTCTGCGCAACACACAGTCAACTGAGGTCTGCCCGCTAATACTTACTAGTTTACCCCGGTCGAACAACGCTTCTCGCATAGTTGTTTGTTGCCATAAAATGGCGGAGGGAGAGTAGCTGTATCGATATACTATATCTTTAGGATACATAAATAAAACTTTTCGTACCAAATTATTTGAATTTATTTATTTTTTTGAAGAAATGTTTCATAGAATGGAATAAATAACATACGAAATTTTCTAATTATTGGTTGGCGTTGTTTTGACTTCCTGTAGCAAACTTACCCCGTCCGTATCTATTCCCCGACCAAGAAATATTGTTTCCGGTTCCATGCCATCAGAAAAGCAAAATCTAGATATTTTAATTTGCTAGAACATTTTAGGACATTGTAATTGAAATATTAGTCCTTTAAAGGCTTGTTGGAGGTGAACCCACATCTTTCCTAAAATAGTGATTAGACGCAAGACAATCATTTTCAAATTGTGCTTATAATAAATATAAATCTTTCTAACACTGGGCTAACCATGATGATGAAAAGAATATATTGCTTGTTGTGTCTGAAATTCTCTAAGGATCTACCTTGGAAATTTTCAGACTATCTTGTCTTATCAGTGTAACAGGTAATGTTTCTTTGAACATATAACCCTTGCGGGATACATACAGTGACCGGGAATTACGTATATAACCATTTAACTTAATCAATACATTATATTTAAATTAAAAGTGAGTTTGCTTATTGATCTATTTAATTTATATGCAGTATCGGGCAACAATCGATGTTTAAAACTAGGTTATAGTCTTTGTCGGTAGCCTAAAGTCGTCACACACTGATCTGTGGTTACCATTTTTTTAACATGTATAGTCTTTGGTCGCAGCTGACACTTGACTGTTGTCTAAGAATTTTTGGCGGGAATTTGAAAAAGGGCGATCCCACTTATTTCATTAGCACAAAAAAAAAAGTTATAGTGTTACTTTGTTTAAAATAGCATAAATAAAATGGAGGAGGGCGTGGATAGCCCACCTACCTCCAAAAAAAGTCTACGGCGGTCTGATGATTGTCAGAATGCATCTGGTTTTGGCGGCGGAGGAAGTAAAAATGTCACCTTTTTTATTTTAAACCAAACTGTGAAATATTTTATTCTGAACATGGTACAAACTATATGCGAATGAATTTCCTAAACCAAATGAGATCTGCTGTGTAGATTGCAGAGGACCTCATTTATATAAAAATGAAAATAAAAAATAAAAAGGGAAATAAAAATGATGAATAAATACTATTAATGAATAAATACTATTAATGTAAATAGTATTATATCTAAGAATATAAATAATACTGTGTCTAAAAATATAAATAAATCTATAATTAGTGAGCCAGTTGCACGCTAGGCTAATAACATAAAGTCTCACAAAAATTGAGAACAGTGAAGTACTTATGGCACTGGTAAGTACATACACTTGTTCAAATTAAAAATAAAACAGACGACACTCTTAAAACAACTACCTTTATTAAAGATATTCTTATTAAAAATTTGACAAGTTAATGAAGAACCAATCTGTCATGTCATCCTCTTTGCGTCTTGCGCTATTTAATGTTCAAGGCGCAAACAAAAAAAAAAACATTACTTACAGCATTTTTAAATGACAATGATATTGATGTTTGTTTACAAAATGAGATGGTTAAAAGACAGTCTTTTTACATTTCGGGTTATACCGTTTACAATAATAATTTTAATAACCCTTTATGTTTGACTTTAATAAAACCAAAATAATCTAAGTGTATGTACCAATAATACTTCTTTGTCAATTCTTTGTGTATACTGTCCTCCTTCTAATGGACACAAGAATGTATAGATTGGATAATATTTTAAGGGATTTACCACTGGTATGTGGGATCAAATACTATCATGCCTCACTTTCAGTATGGATTTTGTAAAGGAAGAAGCTGTGCAGACAGCTTTATTTCTTTAACAAATGATCTCAACTTTGAAAAATAAAAAAAAAAATTTTAGACCCCCAAGGGGCCTTTGATAGTGTAGCATAGTCACACCCTGGCATAGTCTTAATTACAACAAACTATATCATTTATATTATAAAAGATTATGTGTGGCAGTTAGGTACACAATAAAGGAATAAGTTGCCTGTAAGAGAGTATATAAGGGCATTTTTGGTATGAATTGATATGAATTAATGCTTTAGAACGGTAAAAATCTGTTCCTATGACTGACTATATAACGATGTAAATATCTCCTTAAAAGAAAATATGTGGCTAAAGTTCAGGAAAGAAGATCAAAAATGTAAAGGAAAATGGTCAGCTAGTTGTGAATGTATCACTACAATTAACAGATTGAGATTTGATCACAATGCTCCACCCGCACATCTTGTAATGTTCCATATAATAAATAACAATATTTGCAACTACTGTAACGAAGATGATGAAGACATGCAACAAATATTTATAAGTGTCAAAACCTTATGTTTATTTTTCATAGATAGGAAAGTGATATTTTAGAAGCTAGTGCAATCTACCGTCGCCAATTTGTAATTTACTTAAAAAAAGTGTTATAGTGCGTTATACAAATTCATTAATTAGGGTTAATATAAGAAGAAAAATGTAAACAGAAAATAAGACTTGGCTTAAAGGTTTCGTTACCAGGCCATTAAATATTAAAAAAAAACACTTAACTGCACTTGACACTGACAGTCGTACTTGCAAGTAATCACTATAAGGACCGCCGCATCTGTAAAACGTGTGTGATAATTTGTTAGAGGAAAATCTTATTTCTCTCATTTGTATGGTGAGTTTTCTATTTTGCTATTACGTATATCATTTTTATATATTTTATGTATTATTATGTCAATATAATTATTGAATTTCGATGCCATTTTATGCAGGTGCTGCTTTACATCTTTACGAACAATGATCCACTTTAAGATCATCACTTTGGACGGCAAGGATTACCCGATCGATATCGATGAGGAGGTAATAAACAGATCTTACGGCTGTTGTACAGCAGCAGTCATGTTTTTATGGTACATTTCCATTTTGCTTTTAAGTATGATTGCACAAACTGACAACATTCAGTGTCCGTACGTTACAAACGTAAGCAATATGAAAGCGATAACTATACAAGTAATTATGATAAAAATACAACGAAACACATTACGTGCCTATTCCTTTAACGAATGTAACATCAGATGTATAAGGAAATATATGAAATGTCACCTTGTTTTCTTTTTTATTCTGCAATCTTTTGTCAATTACATTCTGCGATGGAAAGATGCATAAGCAATTTTGACTGGCTTGCTTAGTTACCCTTGTTAATTATTCTTTTTACATAATGAATGATTTTGCTTTGCTGCCTGCGTATGTGTCTGAACTTTGATTGTGCCCTGCTTGATTGAAATAATTTATTGTTTTCTCATTATTCAAACCCAGGACTTCTTGAAGCGAAGAGATCACTATGGTGTCTTGTATATTTGCAGTTAAACTTACTAGCTTTTAGTTTTTATTTTCTATTGAGGGATTTCATTTCACCCCATATGCCTCTGCAGAGGTTGTTACATTATCTGACTCCCACTGTGTCCCTTTAAATCGTCCGGTCTCTTTGGAAAATTTTAAAAACTGTTCCATTGTTAGTAGCATGTGGAGCATTCAGTGAGGAGATGGATACTTCTTTCCTCATAATCTTTGCATTTTGGGCATAAAGGGTCGCTGATTACTCCCATCTCTGTGAGATGTCTATTTAGACATCACAATGCCCTGTTATGATGCCTACAATGAGTTGCATATTCAATCTTGTTAGTCTCATGAGGTATTTTGTCATTTTCTTATCCAAGCTACTTGTATGTATGAAATTTTTTGACTGCCGGTCGATAATTTCCACCTGCTTTCATTATTGGCTTCTTCTATGAGACTGCGCTTGATTACTCCTTTGGTTATTTTATGGGCTATCTGAAGTATGGGACCGGATCCCACCATATTTTCCTCTACTTTGCTTGTCAGTTTTCCTAGTACTTTCTTGCATTCCTTGACAACTACAGATGTTGTCTCTTCTTGACTAAGTGTTTTTAGTGCTGCCTGACTGTCACTATAAATAGTAACGCGTGTCCTAAGTGCCTATCTACCTCTGCACATTCTGTGATAGCAAATATTTCCGCATGAAAAAGACTTACCAGTTTCCCTAATGGGATTGATATTGTGACCTTTGTTCCGTCTTCGCATACTATGTATATGCTTGAACCGGAGAGCTTTGTTGATTTTTTCCTGGAGCTATCTGTGTACCATATTGTGCCCACATTTTCCAGGGTTAGTTTCCATTTATGTATATCTCCAATGTGGGTTCTATAGTTTTTGTCAAATATCCTTTCCTTCTTTGTAAAATCATTGTTGGCAAGGATCATTGACTTGTTTTGTCATTTACTTTACCTATGTTAGTCCTTTGTCCATGATATTTCCTTTACAGAGACCTGCACTTCTTAACCTAAACCACGTTTCTGTGGCTTTTCTTATTTCTTGAAAATATTTTTGTCATTAGACCTCTGAAGATTGATCTAAAGTTGTGCCTGTGATTATTAGTGCTGCCAGTCTATGGACTTTGTCTAGTTCTACTTTGTTTGACTTTATTGATGCTATGTGCCACCCGCTTTTAGATTTAGAACATTCTTAGGATTGCAACACATGAGCCAACAAAGCCATTTACTTGCAGATCTGCAAACCCAATGTGATGTGAAAATTTTTGCTAGTTTTAGATTAAGAAAACAAAGCACTTCTTATTATCTTGATCTTTGCAACTTCAATGAATATTGCAGTATTATATAAGCAAGGCTATGCGAAATTTATTTTTGGCTTTGCATACTATCAATTTGAAGCACAGGTGTGGTTTGTTGACCAAAGCTTATTTTGTTCTTTTAGATTGCCAATTGTTGTAGTTGTCAATCTGAAATGCAGTCTAGTAACTATTTTGTTAAACATGTGAATATTTTATTTTTCAGAGTTCCATAAAAGATCTAAGGGAGCATATGCAGGAACGCACAGGCATCGCGTCTACGCAGCAACGCTTCATATTCCAAGGCCGAGCTTTAGTTGATAATGACAAGCTAAAGGACTTAAGTAAGTGGTGTACCAACTCTAGCACTAACATACTTTTCTCTCTGGCTTCTCTTGTGTGTTTATATAATGTAAAACAATTCAAATGCAGACTTAGAGGGAAAAGTGGTGCACATGGTACCAAGGCCCCCACCTCGTTCTACACCTTCAGTTTCTTCCAATTTCAATACTCAAAATACTTCTGAGAATCAAACTCCAAACAGGCCAAGGGTTAGCACCAATATGTTTGTAATCAATTCGATGGAGGATGTGACTGTGAGTTGACTATAAGTACTATGTTTTATTCATATATTATTCAATTTATTTAAAATTGTGGTTCAATCATTTGAATTTTGATTGTTTAAAGTAGTAAGTTTGACCAGATCCCATTTTAATACAATTACAGAGACAAATAGACACCAATTTAGAAATTACCCAGTCGCCAACATGCGCCCGCTTGCGAGAGATAAAAGCGCTGTTAATAGAAATCAGACAGGATCTCGAAAATCTTGCTACCACAAGTGCAATGCCAGGTCATGAGGCAACAGGAAGGGAAGAAGGCCTGCCTCGTTCTTCTCGTGAGGCAAGAGAAGGGGAGCAACAGGTGTCACAGCAGTAAGTGCATGCAGACTCATTTAGGTTTTACTGTTTGGTATGAGACTTCTCCTATAATCTATGCCACAGGGTTTTCCGTGTCCGTGACTTCGCAGAAGTTATATTGGAAGTGCAAGAGCTGTCACGCACCTTCTCTCCATACATACCGATGTACGCAAGGTTACTACAAGAGATCGTGGACGGCGTGCCGAGCGAAGAAAATATGGTGGTGCGCCAGCAAATTGCGTATTGCATGGGGCGTCTTTTCCACTCCTTTGGGCACGCGAACCATATAATAAGCGACATCCACGTGTTGCTTTCCAATCGAGAGACTCGAATCGTGTCGGAAGTCATAGCGCCGCATTCTACGCCCTTGAGGGCACAGATTAGCGCGGCGGGCGTCGCCCTGGCTGGAGCTGATGGCGCCATTCGACGACCGACTGACCGGAACGTAGGCGGTTCGGACCCAATTACCGTGCAATTGCAAATCGAGACGCGTCTCCCCATCGGTGTAGGAGTACTCGACGTCCCCCAGCGCGGACAAGTGAATCCCCCCGACCGCAATACCAATGCAAATGAAACTGCACCGGATCGCCCAGTTCGGGACATTAACATAGGTATACGCTTACATTCCTGGGGCTTTCCACTCACTATTCAGACTTCTATACCGCTCTATGTCTTTCCAGACGACGGTGAACCCGTATTCGAGATTCCAATTCGCATAGAAGGTGTTCCTCTAGAACATGGTCTCCAAAATCTCCTCCCTGGCCGTCAGAATGCCGCCGGTACAGAGCACAACGGTAAGCAATCTTAAGATTATTTTTCATTTTATTTTGCTTTTAACTCTTCTTAAGTATACACGTTTGTTCAGTGTTCGTGGCACAGGTGCCCGACGCCGCGCAGCCCTCTCCCGAGCTGATCCAACAACTCTTGTCGCTGTTCGCGACCCACGGAATATTGCCAAGCGACACTCCCGCCTCAAACCCTCGAGTAATCATCCCGAACGCCGACGCTGGTGCCGAGGCGCCTTCGGCCACCGCCTCCGACCCTCTTCAGAACCGGTCTGAACCGGATCGTACAAGTCAACGTACCGTTGCGGGAGGACGAGTTTTACAAGGTGAGACCATATTAAAATTATTTGCTTAAGATATTTTAATCTTCAAAGTTCTAAGTAATGGAATAAGGGCTGTTCAATGCAAAGAAAGATAAACATTTTTAAGTCCATATTATATACATCCTTAGCTATGTGTGTTGTATCGGTGCTGTCTGTCGGCTTGCACTAATTTACATGAATACTAAAGCGATATGTATTGATCTATTATGTTGTTATAACGGACAGGCGTGCCGATTACTACAAACGTAAGACCCGATGTATATGACCCGACGCTGGCCTGCGATAGCGTTCATGCAAGGGATGAGGTGCAGCGCCGCAACCCTGAGCGCGATGGGCTAGTTTTAACTGATGTGGCCTGGCAGAGGATGCAGTACAACCTGGAGACTCTCTACGTGAGGTTTCGGCGAGACACCTCCGTGCCAGGGGCCGCCTTGATCTCGTGTCACATACTCCTCCGCGAGAGACTGACGCCCGCTCCGCTAAGGATCTTTGGTGACTACCACCTGTCGCATCTGCGCCGGGTGGTCACCGCGAGCCTGCTCGGCCTTATCGGGCGCGACGCTCTGGTCGACTCAGACGAGTGCTGCGACACTCTCACTGAGGCTATTATGGCAGAGCACGGGGACTTCTTCGACCGAAGCTTACAAGCGATGCGAGTTCGCCCCGAGGTGGACGTGGTCGCGTCGCTCAGTGCCCTAGTGCGCAGCCGCTTGCGCGACTTCATAAGAGCTGCGCCCGGCGCCCAAACGGTAGACGCGAGCCTTTTGCGCGTCTACCGCGGCTTCTGCGACTTGATCGGCTACTTTGCCGAGGGCTCAGTCCAGACCTTCCAGGAGATATACCGCGCTTTCTTCATACACTGCGCATATAGCTTGGATGAGACCACTCTGGACCTGCTATTCGGCGTCGCTATGTCCAACATGGCCTTCGGAATGAACTTTATTTCGAGGTCTCCGAGGAAGGGTTTGCGGACGCCATTCGTCGTCGAACGTGTTCCGGAAAATGCGGAGAAGCCGCAGGAGACTACGGTCTCAGACGAGGCGGCGCACTCCTCCGCCTCGTGCTCGTGGTATTCGGCCTTGGGGAGCTCCGTCGCGCCCGACGGGGGGGACTTTTGCTCATCTCGCAGGAGACCCGTCCTTGTCCCTCGCAAAGCGTCCAGGAAGAAGTCGAGCAGGTGAGCGGTTTGTCAACGTATTTTTTCTTCTCTTTAACATGCACGCATTAAAATGAATATTTTCAGGGCGAGCGAGCCTTCATCCTCTGACGCGGCTCCAACGTACAATGACAATGCGACTCATTCGCCGGGACCTAGCACCTCAGCCTCCGCGCAGGTCCCCGCTTCGCCCGCGAATGCCGATCTCGGGTACGTATAAACGAATTTTCATCAAGAAGCTAAAGATCAATCATTTGCGTACCGTAATACGTCCGTTATGTAATTAACATAGCGAACGTATAATTTTATCGACTGTTTACATTAAAATAACGTAAATGTGTGCTAGATTTTAATGGAATAAATTGATATTGTATTAACTAGCTATGTTTTCGCTTAGCTCTTCGCGTGCATCCGCGACGAGCACCGCCCCCGTCGGCCCTGTGAGTATTCTTCCCAAGTAGAACAATAACATTAGGAACCGTGTCTGTAACCGTGGTCTGTTTTGCAGGCGCCGTGCAGCCCATTCAGTGATGCGTACGTGTCCGGCATGCCTCACAAAAAGAGGCTTTGTGTGCGACAGGCCCGACCACCGACCGCTCTCCAAAGCTTCATAGAGGGTCTATCTGATTAATAAGCCATTTATCGTCTATTTCACCCCATTTTACATTCATTTTCAGTGAAATTCTATCAGCTTTTAAAATAAAGAAGCAACTTTAGGCTAATAGAGAATGGTTCTTGATATTTCGCCATCATCATATGAGAAAAAGTTGATCGTTTGACTAAGAAGATTGGTCATTTCGACAGAAGTTCGAAAAACGAGAGTCCTGAAAACATGTAGTTTGCAAAATACCCCCGAATGCTCTTTTCAAATTACCAACGAAGCATAAAGAAAAAAAAACAATCGTTTGTACTTTTATTGTAGTCATATTGGTTACAATTTTCATTTTGACTTATTAAGCCGGCCCCTTCTTTTTGCTGCGCGCCCTCGCTCTTCCATTAAATCGAGGATGATCGAAGAAACCTTACAGGAACTTCCTCAAGTTCATAATATTTCAACAGCGAGCGTTCAGCGTGACACTAAAATCTAACAGTCAGCGTTTATTGCGCAGAAACCCTGAACGACGTAGAAGTAAACGCAGAGCCGCAAGCTAGCCTCCAGCAGATGTTCCAGGAGTGGTTCAGGGTCGCCATTCGTCAGAGGCGGCTCCGTTGCCCGGACTTCGATGAAGGAAGGCTGAAAGCGGTCACGGCGCTCACCGAAGAGGAGACCGAGTGAGTCGACACTCACTCGACGAGGTCCAACCGCCCTATGAGAGCTTTAAGTGATGTTGGCCTGTTCTCTTTCAGATCGACTGAAAGTCAAGTCGAGGACACCGAATAGACGTCGCCGGCCAAATTTAATCGTTTGACTTGGCATTGGTTGGCACCTGCATGTTGTTGTCGTTTCTCACTCAATGTAAATACAATTAAATATCAAAATCATCTTTTTTTAAATTAAGTCTAAATAATATGTTGAACAATATATATACAGTATTCTGTAAGTATCTCTGCTCTTTAGTTGTTTTTCTGGGTATAGGTTTTCATTACATAAATAACAAGTAGTTGCAGTAGTTTTTATTTATGGCTCCTTTTTGGATTTCGTGTCGAAAGTGTAAACAGCGGTCTAGCTGATAGATAGCTAGAAAGTTGTACCACAGTACTTATGTATACTTTAGTTGGTGCTGCAACAACAAATATTAAAGACGTGCTATACAACAAATGGATTTCTGTTTTTCTTTTAGTAATTGAGATAGGTTGGCACCTGAAATTTATAAGTTATGGTACATACTACATACATCAAATGTAACTTATTGTCTAACTTTTGTTTTGATATCAATCAACTTGAAATAACTCAAGTAAGTTATTTTTTGAATAATCTTAACGATAATCCATTGTGCCAACGTCTGAATTTGCAACAGGGGGCCTACCACCATCTCTTATAGCACTATTATTATAATCTTACTTTCAATTTTCGTACCATGACATTTAAAAAATAAGCTTATTTTGATACTGTTTCGATTAGCAGTTTTGTGACGTCACCGCACATCATTCACTCAAAGCGTACCACGACGTGTCTTTTGATAGTTAGCATTATTGTTTTTATGTCAAATTTAGCAATCATAAAAAAGTTTTTGTACGCTGGAAGTAAGATTGTTTTCATATTTCTATTAGAAAAACTAGATATTTTAAGTTCAAAAGTAAGTAAAACATTTAAATTTGCGTGAATCTTTGTTAAAAAGTGATATTTTACTAAGGAAAGACCCAAAATTAGATTTGCAAAGTTAAATGTGTGCGTGGTTCTAGACGGCCGATGAATATGAAAAATTCGAGTTTTTGGAAGTAGATAATGCCGAAACAAAATCATCGAAGAAGCAGCGTCGTAGGCATTTAAGTCAGGAATGTGACCCTTTCGACCTTGACGAAATGGAGTTTGTTAAAAGATATAGGCTTACCAAAGAGCTCACGTATAAGTTGTGTGATGAGTTAAGGCCTCTACTAAAGAAGCCAGTTAAATCCACTGACTTGTCTGTGGAGACGAAGGTATTTTAAATACTATTTATCAGCTTCCCAAACAATGACCAAGAACGCAACAGAATAAAAGCACAGTAAGTTGTTTTTTATGTCATTATGTTCTTATCCCAGCACGACACTTTTCATTATTATGTAGTAAGGTCATATTATGTTCAGAGTCAAGCTGACTAGACAAATGAATCTTTCTGTATATATGAAACAATTTATTATATATTAAATGTTAATATATTTTTTTAGGTTCTATAACAAATTTAACAGGTATCTTAGGATGTATAGACTGTACCCATGTTGCTATTGCACGGCCTGCACTAAAAGAAGAATGCTACTTTTGTCACAAACATTATCATTCTTTGAATGTTCAATTGGTAAGTCATGTATAAACTCCCAAACTTACATTTGATATATTAATAAAATTTTATTGAAATAATAACAGACTTGGATAGCTTTGAACAATAAAAAAGTAATATGAGGTAGTCACTTTAAATATTACTTATTATGTTGTATGTATTGTATATATACTATTTTACTATGTTTTTTCAGGTTTGTGATGCACATATGAAAATATTAAGTGTAGATGCAAGTCATGGCGGTGCTGCCTATGACTCCTTTATCGGGGCTAATCACCCATTGAGAATGCATCTAGAAGAATTAAGTAATGCAGAGAGTATTTGGTTTTTAGGTATTGATATGTTTTGTTTTGAGTGAAATATGTAATTGAAGTGAATTATTTAATTGTCTAACAAGTAACAATATTATTATTTCAGGTGACTCTGGATATCCATTGAGAAGGACAATGATGACTCACGCGGCGACAATATAGAACTCCACCAAGAATGGGCTACTAGGACTGCCCAGCTCTGGGAAAGGCGTCATTTATAGATCTGTAAATAGGAGTGAACATTAATATTAATAACTTTGTTATTAGTTTTATTTTATTATAATATTAAAAGTTTTATTTAATGTATAGTTTATTAATAAAACTTTATTATTTACTGTGTTTATATTCAAAAGTGGGAGATAGTTTTGTACATATTTACATTTGTAATTGATAAATCTGTTTGTAGTTTTTAAATAAAATCACATTTGTTATCTCTAACCTAAAATTAAAATACCTTTCAATGTTTTGCAAGATGCTGTCAATTTTTTCTGATCCCTCTGTAATTCTGCATTAAGCTTGTGAGCTTGTCACTACCGACGAGCTACAATCCTGCAAAAAATTAAAACACTTTACTTTAGCTACTTAAACTTCCAAGCGACGAGAACTTTAAGCTAAACGAAAGATATATCTTGTTTTTATAAACTAAATAATAAAAACACTATTTTGAACTTGTGTTTTAAAATTTATTTTAAAAACTTTACACATAATGGTTAAAAATATTAAGTACCCAAAAATCCAAAATCTTAACTGTAAGTGCGTGTTTCGGAACACTGTGCGAAAGTGATGACGCTATACGAAAAAGATTAGCTATCTCGCTTTCTCCTTACGCAGGGAAGCTTCTTTTACATCACTACGCAGGATTAAAACATTATTGTTTTATATTGGTCATGGTACGAATTTGAGTAATGTTGTTATAAGCTTGCAACAAAACGTTCCTGATACATGATGGTTTTTAAAAGAGTGTGGTAGGCCCCCAGGACGTTTTATTTTACTTACACTTCAGAAAAACAATAAGTAGGCGTACTTAATGCTATCCGGCGTTTAATAATACAACACTTAGGTATTTTAGTTTACAGTATAATAAATAAAACATACACAATCAAAATAGTGACGAATTTATTCATAACTTCTAACTTTTTTTATTTCTTGAAATAAATAAATAAAAATGTGTGCTAAACAAGATATTGTTGGTTCATAATTATCGTAGTGCACTTCCGGCAGAACTTTCCGTGTGGTGCCGGATTAAGAATAGTACCCCCCCCCCATATCCTCCCGTGGGTGTCGTAAGAGGCGACTAAGGGATAAAAAAACCGATGAACGGGCAGCAGCGTTCATTCGCGGTTCAACAATCCAACTGCGCTCGCCAACCCGTCTGCCAAGCGTGGCGAGTATTGGCATATACCCCTCCAAAAATGGAAAATATGACCAGCACCAGGCCCCCAGTCCCCGGCAGCCCCGTAAGTCCTGGCTACGGTAGCGGCCATGGTAACTGCGGGGCAGGGGGTGCTAAGAATCACCGGCAGAGATCCGGCTACCTTTTCCGACGACCATTGGCCCTGGTAACATACAATGCACGCACTTTGAGGATGGATGAAAAGATTGTCGAGCTGGAAGAAGAACTGAATAGGTTGCGGTGGGACATAATAGGGTTATCGGAGGTCCGACGAGAGGGCGAGGACACGATGACCTTGGAGTCCGGCAACATGTTCTTCTACCGAGAGGGAGGACAGCAGTCCCAAGGCGGTGTCGGGTTCATAGTCCACAGATCCCTTGAATTGACAACTTCGAGAAAGAGGTCAATCGTCGAATCCGACTCGGCTGGGCAGCGTTCGGGAAACTAGACAAAGTCTTTTCATCCCGTATACCTCAGTGCCTGAAAACTAAAGTGTTCCAGCAGTGTGTGTTACCAGTGATGACGTATGGTACCGAAACATGGTCTCCTACCGCGAGCATGGTGCACAGACTACGCGTCGCTCAGCGTGCGATGGAAAGGGCTATGCTCGGAGTTACCCTGCGCGATCGAATCAGGAATGAGAGATCCGTAGAAAAACTAAAGTAACTGACATAGCCCATCGAATTGGCAAGCTGAAGTGGCAGTGGGCTGGGCACATCGCTCGAAGAACTGACGGCCGTTGGGGCAACAAGGTTCTGGAGTGGAGACCACGTACCGGACGTCGAAAACCTGGACGACCTCCTACCAGGTGGACCGACGACCTGGTCAAGGTAGCACGGAAACGCTGGATTCAACTGGCGAACGACCGGTCGTACTGGAAGTCTATGGGGGAGGCCTATGTCCAGCAGTGGACATTGAACGGCTGAATCGAATTATCGTAGCTTCTATTACCTTCATAGCCAGGTTCAAGCAACACATTGTTAATAGTATTGATAGCACTAGCCGTCCAAGCTTTAGAATAAATTATATTTAAGCTTATGTTATGTTTCTCTATGTCTTGCCTTTTGCTTTATTTACATTATCAATTATTGCACATTTAGCCTTCATGTGGTCCTTTTAAAAGGCACCTTTGTACACACATTTTAGTAGTTTATTTTGTTCAGTATTTATGTTATTATTATCTTGCAATATCAACGCGGGACATAGAGATCATAATGCTTATTGTCGTGGAATATTTATTATACGTTAAAGACAACCATCCTTGGTAACAGCCCCAAGTTCGATACCCACTTGTACCCTACTTTAAATGTCTTTCAATAAACTAAAGAAATGATACAATTTGACAGAGCAATCTGACTAGTTGCTTAAGAATACAGTATCAACATATATATAAGTATATTACATTTTCAATATTAACGATTGATCAACTTTAAAGGTAAATAATTTATCAGTAAAACTGGATAATACTAATATTATTTTTACATCAAAAGCTAGAAGGAACAGGGGGGGGGGGCAAAAGTCCCCCTTATCCCATAATGGTTAATGGTTGTCTTGAACACATTTTCTATGCAGTTTGAGATCCGTGCTCTGGCTCTGCTCTTAAATTGCAGTCACCTATGAACACAACTGTTAAATCTAACGTGCGGTTTTCCGAAAAAATCTATTTGAACTGTCCAAGGCACAAATCAACTCCTTACATACCATATTTACATATTTATACGACACATTATACTTATATATTTATATACTTTACACCCCATCTTGTTTACTCGCGATGTCGTTTGCATCTAATCCATCTCGTTTCTGCTCACCGTCTTTGGCTTTACAGACTTTTGGCGGCTCTACATGTGTTTTGCTAGTCACATAAGCGTCCGCGCTCTCTTCGCAGCTCTTCTGGTCATCGTTAGATAGGGTTAGCTCAAATTGCCCGACCAGTTGACTCAGAACTCTCTTAAGCTGATCGAAAGATTCTTTATCAGCTGATGCCGGGGCGAGAACATCACACTTATCATAGCTCTCGTATTCCTGCTTCATGGATTTTAATTCGCCGATAGTGACCATGTGATTTGGATCGTTTTTAAGTGCTTCGTTCAATATTTCACCTTCCCTCGAGAAGAGGAACACGGCCGGAATCTGTATGTCGTCTTTCCCGTCTCCGGACATGGCGAAGAGCGCGGTGCTTTCGTGGGACGAGTCCTTTACATTGTCTAGTATTATCGCTAACTGCGCACCGGCCTCTTGTAAGTTGCGAACCTGTAAATTGAAATGTAGTATCATAAATTATATATACAATATTAAAAGGCCAATTTAAAAGAAAACATTTCATTAGACATTCACTTGTTGCTACTATTCAACTTTTTTAACGTAAAATAATGTCCCAAAAACAGCTTTTACTGTCATAATCGCTGTAATTTTTTTCCTTTATAATATGTAATTAGTAATTTTCGATATATATTGAAAGTCTTGTGAAAATCAAAAGCCGATACATACTGCTGTCATCAAAATAATATTAATAATTCGTAATACTTTACTAGACTTATGACAAGAAAAAATATCTTAATCTTAAATTATCTTTCATTGAAACTAAACAAGTTTCTATTTTATTTCAGTATGAGCTATACGCAACTATCCTTCTAACACTTCTCTTTAATTTTAGGATCATACAAAACATATTTACGAATTCTTGAAATTGAATAAAAATCAATGATTTTAAGTTATATTGATCGCCGAGACACAACGCCTAACAAAAACGCAGGGGTCGATGCCTAGTATGATGATTACGATGATTAGTAAAACTACCACAGTTCAGATCAGACAAATATGTGCAAGATTGAGTACGGATTTTGGTCTTTTACCCCTCTCTTTTATAAGTGGCAAAATAAGTCGCGGACATCACTTAGACTAATAGATGTAAATTCTAAAAGTCCGGTGGCGGTAGGAATTTCACTCTCCATGCACCTAAACGAAGTACACAAACATGTAAATTAAATGGGTGTCTGTAATTCTATTGTAAATATCCCTAGAGTTACTTATTCATTCCATTCATACTTTCTCTAACACATGATGGTGACTTCCACGTATCCATACGTACCTTCTGTGCAAAAGTACACTGCCCACGGACGGCAGCTGCGAATTTTCCCAACAGCTCCTCCTTATTCTCGACGCTCGTGCACGCGTCTTGCGGGATCGCATATGCCACGTGGCCCATGTACCTTTTGCGGCCGGTGATCTCCTTTCCGAAGTGGCCGGGCCCGGCTGCGTACACGGCGTCCTTTACCTTAACCCCGGCCGCGATCACGCCGTTCTCCATGTCACTTAAGGCGTTCCACTTGGACATTTCCTGCATGAATGTGAGGCCTTCCGCGGCGTCCTTCGGCGATTTCGCCTGTAAAATGTTTATTATGACAATAGTTTGCTACTTACGCAATTTAAAAGCGTAAATAGAAATTCGAAATCTGAACATCAAATACTGTCTGTAGTTTATAGTGTATACGAGTAGAACAAATTTTAATGAAACACTTTAATAGGGTCAAATCACAAAATGTAATAGTTAAACATCAAATTACGTATTTTACGACATATATAAATGCTCATTCCTCGTTCAAATTAGGTTTAATCGGCGAATTCAATATAATTAGGATTCCGTCACATACCGTATTAGTAGTATAAAGTAGTTGAACCCTTCCATCGGGCAGTGTCAGAACGGATATGCCCATGTCGGAGAGCGCGTGAATTTGGCGAGGGTCGTTGAGAGGGCGAAGTCTCGCCGGCGGTCGGGCTGCGCTTGAGCCGAGCATCTGGCGCATTGGCCGACGCACTTTCTCTGCCACCAACGACGCAGTGTTCGGGCATGTCCTGCAATAATATAATTTTGTTAAAACATTAATCGCCTCGCCAAATAACACGTCCCATTAAACATTATTAAACTACACATTTCCTAATAAATTTCTGTAGTTAAAGGGTTTAAAATATTAAAGAGAAGAAAACGAATTATTTTTATGTAAACAGCCCGAAAACACTATGGCAAAAAACGTAGAGGTCAATGACCTCATTGTTTACTATACATTGTGCACTAATTCATTTAGAAAAGCGTATGCAACACGCACTTGGCCCCTATAGCTCGAAATCAATCGAAAAGGGAGTAAAAATAGAAGTAGTGCTAGTCGACGCATTCCGAAGTTAAAATAATTTTATAAGTTCAATTAAATTACTACAGTATTGATCATGGAAAAAACTGTCTGTCCCATGCCCCACTTAGTTGAAAGGTGAAATAAGTTCTCGTGTGTATGATTAACATGTGAAAAACCTTACTTTCTGTATTTATCATCATCATCATCGCCAATTCTTATATTGAGATAGGTGGAGTTCCTTCCATCCGTCGCCAAACTCAGAGGCAAGAAATGTGCTTCCGTAGTTAGTACATAATCCTCCAACTTGATCGGTAAATCTCTGTCCTCGCCGAACAGCATGAAAAGGTATTTGAACGTCTCCGCGAGCACGTACGAATCCATGCGGTCCTCGTGCACACGTGTTCGTACGTCGTTCACCGCTGCGTACCCACACGGTACCCTTGTGTACTGCTGTAACGCTTTTAACACGGTTTTTCCCACTTGGAGGTAATGGTCGTCGTCTGTGGCGCGATGAAGGAAGTAGGTGGACTCGAGGAATTCCGGACGTAAGGGGTGCTGACCCCAGTGCACCTGGAAAAAAATCATCAATAATCAAATTTTGGCTCACATATTGGGTTCAAATACATTGTTTAATGCTACATATATAAACCAAAATCTATTCAAATAAAGATGACTACGATACGTGATTTCTGTAAAGAGAAAATTATTTATCTTATGAAAGTAATTTATGCGTTTCCCTCTACACGTGGCTTTCTTACCTGGAAGTCACTGGTAAATGCCTCAGGTATAAAGGTGTGACGCTGCATAACCTGATACAGCATTTCATGCGTCTCTACAGCTGGCCTCACGTCACCCAAAAGCACTTGCAGTCCAGGCCAAAAGGCCAACAGCGCGTCCATAAAATTTCTGGACTGCAGATGGGGTCTGCAATACATTTAAAAATTAAATTAATTTACAAAAGAATTTTTTCAATGAACTAATAAAACCAAAGTAAAAGTACAGTCAGTATAAGATTAAAAAACAATGAACTTTTAAAAGTAATAAATCAGTTTTTCTTAAAAACCACACAAACACGTGCGCATCTTAATGTTACTGTTTAGAATGTATATATTGTAATACATTTTCTTGTCTATTATCAATGTCAACTTTTTGTATGAACTATCTGTTTGCACTAATTATTGAGTGTTAAATTGTGTCTGATCAAGTACTTGCCTGTTAAAGAACGGATCAGTGAAACGGACACAAAATGTGTTCGCCCCGTGTCCCAAACGGGATTTCACTTTTAAATTGTGAATAATAATCCGATTTATTATAACAATTTCAATTTTGTAATAATTCAGGAGCAAATTTGTTTATTTTCAAACTCCTGTGTAATATTGTCGGTTAACGGAAGCCTACTTTTAAACTCACCGATGCATATGTACCGCCAACATTATAGGACCCCGGCTTATATACTTCATGACTGCATTGTAGTGTCTATTAAATCTAGCCAAGTACTTTTCATCCCCAAGGAGTATGTACGCTTTTAAGCAGTACTCGTAATACGAGTCGATTCCAGCTCCGACTCCAGAGTCTTTGCGGACCCAGTCCCCGGAGTGGATGTTTATGACTGTACCCATCAGGTCTGATGTTCTGGAAATAAATAAATATAATACAATGTGAAATAATCGTGTCTGTGTATTTTTTATGCTTAACAAAATATTTATATTTTTTTACAGCAACATTATAGGAGGTAGCTAGACTGAAATGACTTCCGCCATAGTTTAATTTAATAGTTATTTTATTATTAACTAGCTGTGTCAGCGACTTCGTCCGCGTAGAATAGTTGTTTTGGCCATCCAAAATTGTTTTTGCAAACCTCTCTACATCTTTATAAATTTAAGTTGTCCATGACATCGGTCGCATCCCGTCGTTCAGGTCCAAACGTTTTTGCAAGTTAATTTTAAAAGACAGACATATATTGTGGCGGAAAATGCGTACGCTGCGAAATCGTTTTCGCATCAGAAACCTTCAGAGATGAAAAATTTCCTCAGTTTTGTTCACATTTCCCGCTGTTTCTTCGCTCTTATTAGTCACAGATATTTTATAGCCTATAGCCTTCCTCAATAAATGCTCTAACTAACACAAAAAAATCATATGAGATAAGCGCGTTCAAACAAACAAACAAAATCTTCAGCTTTATATATTAGTATAGATTATATAGGGTTAGAATCTTTGAAAATATGGGGGAAACCAGCATACAAAAAAATAACCTCCCGACCCTGTATTCATGTTCTTGGTGTGGTTTCATTGGACTTATTGTAAATAAAAAATCTTTAAGGCATCAAACCTATGTCTAATCTTCCATAAGCCGTCCATCGCTTTATGTGCCTTCTGCTCGAAGACTGGGTTGCCGGTAAGTCTTGACAGTGCTGCCATTTCCAAGATCATAGTGCCCGCGCAAGCTGTGCAAGTTTCGCGCGATTCGGACATGCCGCGAATACCGTGGCGAAGGTTTACCTGAAGAACACATCCACAATATACAATTACTTATAATAGTTTTTGTTGACTTGAAACTTCAAACCTGTATAAAAACTTTTTCTAGGGACAAAATGTTTAGTGGTTAGGTGGTGTATTTACCTCGCTGCCTCAAGTAGCGAATAATATATGAATAACATATAAACACAAACTATGCGCTGGAACTAATTGGCGAGCGTGAAATAGCATGGTTAACTCTCGGGCCGGATAGAAGTCTCGCCTGAATGTCTCTGTTGAGACAGTTATTGTTGACTGTTGTTGTGAAAGTTACTCACCCTGCCATGCGGTATACCAGTGGAAGTATTGAAAGCTGGCAGTAATCTCTTGCCAACGTCTTCGGCTTTCAATAACAGTTCACCATTGTACCAACTGAGAGCTGGAACCTCATTCTTCAGTGCTGTAGCCAGGACGTGAGCAGATAACAGACCTCTGTAATGTTAAAAAAAGTATGATACCCCAAATGGAAATAGTAGGAGTCTTCATCCCTCAACTTTAAATAGCATATTAAATTGGTCTTGGTCATGTCATCATCTTCTATTAACAAACAAATTACCCAACTATCCTTATATTCGTTTCAAAGACAGAAACAACAATATCATGGTCGAAACTGACATCACGATTAACTAGGTGTATTCCACGGCTGAATTCCGAAAAGTCGCCCATAACGGCCAAGGTGTCCAAACTGTCTACCAACGTAAGGGAGAAACTGGAATCAAAAAGATGTAATGTAGATAAAATAAAAGGTCACAGCTGCTTGTTGTTGGTAAACTTGGCATAGGTTTACAACATAGCTACATATACAGTTACTATGTTTATACGATTTATCATATAAAATAAACCTTGGTTAACTATTAAAGCACTAAAATCAAAATAAAGTATAATTTACTTATAGTGTGTTATGGGTTTCTGAAAAAAAAAATGTTTTGTATATTTATAAGAACCAGCATAAATCCCTAAGACTCATGTATTAACACTTATCAAATTGGACCTTTTTTATATAAACTGGTATTTAATATTTATTTTGGTCAATAAAATTTGTTAACAGCCTTTTCTATCTGTATCGGCATGTAGTTTTATCATATTCAAGCAGTTATTTATCAACATATGCTAATTACATATAGTAGATATGACAGTAAAAAGGTACGATCTATATTTTATCGATAAATGATGAAATTAGATTCCAGTAGAGTTCATAAGGTTAAACTAAGTGTCTCTAGAACTAATAAATCAAATATAACAACAACTGAAAGTAAGTATTCCAATTTTGCTTTTTACCCAACTTAGATAATATAAAATTTATAAATATTTGTTAGACATAAAACAACACAGCAAACAACCTTGATTCTACTTTCTTATCGGTAAAAAAATGTTCAAGCACTTTGAAGCTATCAATATAAAAGAAAAGTTAATTAAGAAACTGCTATTTTATAATTATTAATATCTCAAGTTGGTGATATATCTAACTAAGTATGTAGTTATTTACTTTAGGTTATACTATGTGCAACAAATATTTGACATAAGAACTTGAGAGATGGAAGGACCATTCTGCATTTACATTTTGCAGTAAGGCCTTTGACTACACTATGCTAAACTTAAAAAATACTCACTTTCCCAAAACATCATCTAAATCTCCACGACTCGGGGTCACACCACGCCATCTTCCCTTACAACTGAGAGGCATCAGCTCATCAGCTGGATATGCATTGTCCATATACGCATTATATGCATGATAAAACATACTCCTAGCCTCATCTCTGAAAACATATATATATATAAATAATCATTGTTAAGTGCATAGTGAAAGTATAAGTAGCATTATAAGAACAGTGTCATTTTAAGTCAGCTTAAAACATCAGAAAAACTATAGGCCAAACAGCACATGATGTGGTCAAACATTATTGGTAGTGACTTTGTTCACTTCCCAATTTTTATCTACTTCTTGCCCGTTGAAACTCACAGTTTTATTCTTCAAAAATTATGAAGTGTCTTAATAAATTATTTATGAATCAAGCTTATATCAATATTTGAACATTATTATTGTAATTACTACTCACATGTATGATGTGTTACATTATATTACAGGGGAATGGTTCTGGATTCAAATCCAAGGAAAACATGATACGTTGCTACATTAGGTACAAGAAACTGAGCTATCCAATCACGAAAATCAACCACTTCTATCAGAAATTATTTTGCCAATCTACGACACAACTCTTCAGTGATTACGTGTTGCAGTCCTACAGTCAACCGTCAATGTAATATTTATGCCAGATATTTACCTCAAGCTATTTCTTTCGGCCTTGCTCATCCGTTGAGTTTCCTCTTCTGTTCTCACACATATTATTGTTACTAATATAAAAACTAGGATACGATAATATGTCATTATCAACATCACACATTCATCGGTGTATTCCGCAATATCGTGGCTACGTACCAGAGGGGTAAACTTCTTAACATAAGATTTTATTATTACTTATTTTCGAAGCACAAAAAAGATTTTTTAATTTAAGCTACCCAATAATAATTAATCTACTGAAATAAATTACAAGTACCATTGATGACAACAACCATAAATCGACAATTACAGGGCAATGGACAAGATAAGAAAATATTGACAGATGACATGCCATGACACATACACTGTATATAGTTTACAAATCCGACCACAGATTCAATCAGCGACGTATCTAATGAAGTTATTCTGTAGCAAGTAGATCTTTGTTTTATAGTATTTAAGACATTTCATAAAGTTGGTGCTCTGAATGCAGTAATACTATATACGACGTCAACTTAAAATTGGCAATAATAGTTACAACGTTTTTATCACACAATTATTAACGACTTATTTAAAATTAAATAGTTTGGTTTTGCTTGCTTGATGTAAAATATTTTTTTTACTATTGGTAATATATCATTATAATATTATATATGGACACAGTTAGCCAACATATTGAATTAAATATGTAACTTTTTTGCTATTGGCTCTCGAGCCGTTGAACAAAGACGGCGCCAATTATGAAATACAAACACAATTTTTAAATTGTAATACACATAATATTATAATGATATAAAAAATATATAATTATATAATACATCAATTATGCAATTTTAAAAATAATAAGACAAATTCCTGCTTTTTTCCGAGTGTGATTATTAATTAACCATTTATATTGGTGACAATAGATTACAATATTGGTAGCAATGGACACAGTAAACCAACCTATAGAAATGATATCTGTCTCCTTTGCTATTGGCTCTCGAGCTGTTGAACAAAGACAGCGCTAATTTTGAAATACAACCAGATTTTTTAAATTGTAATACACATAATATTATAATGATATTAAATAAAATATAAGGATATAATACATCAATTATGCAGTTTTAAAAATAATAAGACAGATTCCTGCTTTTTTCCGAGTGTGATTATTAATTAACCATTTATTTTGGTGATAATAGATTACAATGTTGGTAGCCGTGGACACAGTAAACCAACCTATAGAAATGATATCTGTCTCCTTTGCTATTGGCTCTCGAGCTGTTGAACAAAGACGGCGCTAATTTTGAAATACAACCAGATTTTTTAATTGTAATTCACATATATTATAAGAATGATAAAAAATAAAATTAGAAAAATAAGTTATGTACATCGATTATATAAATTTAATGATAATGAGATAGATTCCTGCTTTTTTTCCGAGTGTGATTAACCATTTATTTTGATCACAATAGATTACAATGTTAGTAGCAGTGGACACAGTAAACCAACCTATATAATTAATATGTGCCTCCTTTGCTATTGGCTCTCGAGCTGTGGAACATAGACGGCGCCAATTATGAAATACAAACAAGATTTTTAATTGTAATACACATAATATTATAATGATATTAAATACAATTTAAGAATATAATACATCAATTATGCAATTTTAAAATTAATACTACAGATTCCCAAATACTGTCTATAGTTTACGGGAGTAGTACACATTTAAATGAAACGCTTTAAAGGTTTAAAACGCGATATATTAGTTAAACTTATAGCCCGACGTTTCGGATGGTTTGCAGCAGCCGTGGTCACGGGGGGACTAAAGATGGAGGATGTCTCTGACGTCAACGTAAAAAATTGCTACGCTTCCTGCTACGCCATCTGTTCCGTCTAAGTTGGTATTTGGCGAAACTGGCCGGGTCCTTACACAATTGACTAACGGTGTCTTCGCGTTTGCCGGTATGCTCTTGTATTGGGATCCAGAGTTTTTGATATGGGATCCCAGGTGTGTGATAATTCGAGGCCGTCCTCCCTATTGAAATTTCTTTCTTTTTTCGGAGTGTGATTAACCATTTATTTTGATGACAATGTTAGTAGCAGTGGACACAGTAAACCAACCTATAGAATATTAGTTTATTAATATGTGTCTCCTTTGCTATTGGCTTTCGAGCCGTTGAACAAAGACGGTGCTAATTTTAAAATAAAACAGATTTTGTAATTTTAATCAACTTACTTATTACAATATAGTATGAAATTACTACTATAGTACAGTATATAGTATACTACATACTCGTAGTATAAACTACGATCTAATGTTTTTTTTCTTTGTCAGACTAATTGTGGATCGCTCTCCGCAATCTTTTCGTACCTCTGAAAATAAGTAATTATTATGTTACAGTTTTTAAATAAGCAGACCTAAACTTTTGCGATTTGCAAATCACTTTATATAGGCATAAGGAAATAACGATAAGTAATAAGTTATTATTGGTTATTCTATATTTTTTAATTGAAAATTGGTCTTTAACAGCCGTTCACTGTATTAATCGACATCTTAATTTCTTGGTTAAATTGGCTCTCAATTCAGAACTGCACCTGTGCTTTGGTAGCGACTGTCAGTCGGTGCCAAAATGCGTTGGTGTCCAGGTGTGTGGCTTGTCGCGTGCATTCTGTTCGTAGAGGGTATTGACGTAAGAATATACCGAAGATATCATGGATCCACCGTTAAGGTACATTTTATTACAAAGCTTGCGTTTGCGAATGTTTTCCGATTATAAGTAATACGTAAATTTATTAATTTGCAAAATGTACTTTGGTTGTTAACTGAAGTTAATTGATTGTTGAAACAGGACTTTCTTTATTGGCCTTTATTTGGCCTTACAAATTAAAATTAAATTTCCAAACTTTATTGGGAGTTTAAAAATTATTATATCGTGCGTATGTTTGCTATTTAAGGCGAAATCGGTAGTATTTACGCCTTGTGAAATTAAACAAGAAAAAAAAAATATTTTGGGAAGGAAGCAAACACGTTAAAAATAAAGCGTGACTTCGTATTTCCGTCTTTTGATTTCTAAGGGATCAACTGAAGTGCACAGTTTTTCTTATAAAAAGAAAGTTTTTGCTTTAAAAATATAGAGACGGCTGCAACCTTACTTTTTATTGATGTACCCACTACCTACCTATTATGAAAGTGTGCTTATTTTATCCTACGTTTTTTTTTAAACAAAATTTTAGGAGACATAGACAAGACGCCAGTATTTATATGTACATATCTATATTTTAAGCAATGATTTTGCGTGTACAAGTATTATTCGATTTGGTGTAATGTTTTAATCAGAGTTAATTATCAATCAATCAATTAGCATTTCAGTTTAATTGCTTCATTTCACTCGTTTCACCAATTAAATCTAGCATCGTTTAGTAACAAGATATGATTTTGATGTCGTTTTGCGTCCGTTCGAGGGCCCGAATTTGTCTGCAAAAGAGAGGCATAATTTGTTCAATATACCTAAATACCAATTTCTTCAGTTTCTGAGATCATTAGTAGTACATATTAATATTTTTTAATGTACAACGCTGAATCGAATCCCAAATGATCGAAGTTAGGTCTACAGTGTAGACTACACTAACACCACGATTGTGTCAAATCGAATACTCCTAATTAATCTTGGATAAAAACCGTCGTAATCGTAATTAAATAATGATTGCTGATATAACCAATTACGAGAGAATATTCTCACGCGGAAAGAAGTGTTTGAATCGAGATGCATAATATGTAATTCGTGATAAAAACACGAGATGCGTAAATTACGCTGAAAAGGAAAGTGCAAATTCTCATTGGATATCTAAACGGTTCATTACATGTTATTTTGCGATATCAACGGCCTGGTTGATCTAGTGTACTCGTCTGCAGACCACGAGGTGCTGGATCGGTTGAAATGTTACTTTTTATTTGGATAATTTTGAGTAGGAGACGTCTCCACGTTACTTATCTATCTATACTAATATATAAAGCTAAAGAGTTTGTTTGTTTGTTTGAACGCGCTAATCTCAGGAACTACGTGTACGAATTGTGTTGGTTAGAGCATTTATGAAGGAAGGCTATAGGCTATAAAATATCGGGCTGTGACTAAAAGAGACGAAGATACAGGGGAAAATGTGGGGGAGATTTTTCATCTCTGTGGGCTTCAGATGCGTACGCTGCGAAAACGGTTCAATATACCTAAAAAATGTGTATCACAGAATAATTCCTCTTTAAATTATCAAAAAAAAAGTCCGCGATATGCCTTTTTTTTAAGATTAACTTGCAAAAACGACGGGAAGGGACGTGATGGACGTCGTGGCTAACAGCGAAGTTTATAAAGATGACAGGGTTTGCAAAAACTTATTTGGAAGCCCAAAATAACGATTCTGGCGGACGAATTCGCTGGCACAGCTAGTTCAATATATATTTGCAACTAAACAGGTATACAGCATGTTCACACTCAGTATAAATATTTGTGCAAATTTATTCGTTTATATAAATACTAGCTGTGTCAGCGACTTCGTCCGCGTGGTATGTTTGGTTTTCCAAATATTTTTTGAAAACCTCCTTTTCATCTTTATAAATTTTAGCTATTACCCACCATGTCAAACGCGTCCCATCGTTCTTGCAAGTTAATCTTAAAATATAGTGTCGTGGACTTTTTTTAGATCATTAAAAGAGAAATCATTCTTTCGTACATATTTCTTAGCGTACGCATTGAAAACCCACGGAGATGAATAATTCCCCTTTTTTTTTCACATTTCTTCGCTTCTATTAGTTACAGCACGAGGAGCACCTTTCTCGATAAATGTTTTAACCAACGTCAAATAATTTTTCAATTCGAACCAGTAGTTCCTGAGATTAGCTCGTTCAAACAAACAAATAAATTCTTCAGCTTTATATATTAGTATAGATAACAATTACTGCAGTTATAAATGAGAATACGGAAGCGAATACGCTAATTGTAATTAGCCATCTGCGTGCTACTTAGTCGTAAGTTACAATTTAATAGAAAATGCCCGATATTAACATGCAATAGTATAATTAATCTCTATAAGATGTGAAGTTTTGTGAGTATGCAACGAAAAAGCAGACAAGTGAAAATTTAACGCACGCATTATGTCACATATAAAATCGTTACATACATCGTGTAAGGGCCCGTGATTTTCATTTTCCTTCCCGCCAGGTCGCCCTCTTACTGGTACTGCTTCAATTCAAATTGTTAAAGAACTTACGAGGCTTAAATAAGAAAATATTTTTATTGATATTAATTTAAGGAAATGCGTGCAGGACCGCCGATTATAATGACAAGTGCCCGCCGTTCTGTCAAAATGTCTGTGACACGTTCTTCAATTGAGCATAATAACAAGTGAGCAGAAACTATTCCTCAATTTCCTTCACGCAAGAAACAAAAATGTCAACTGATATGCTTCCTTAATTACTTTAACAAAATGTTTATTATACCGTAACATATAAATAATTATTTACATTGCCATATGTGAATTGAAGCCAGGAATTCAATATGAAAGCTATCCTTTTTTTTAATAAGTAATCTTTGGTTAAAGTTGCGTTTCTAATGTAGTGTACATACGCAAAGCGAATTTAATTACGATAATTCTCTACTGAAAGCTAGCGACAATAGTTAATTACAAAAAAGACAATAGGCTAGAGGAAAAATATTTTGTCCGTTTACGTGTCAATAGTAAGGGTGCCGCCACTTAATATTTTTTAGTTAAATGCATACATTTTAATACTACAATAATATAAACGATCCACAATTTTTATATAGGATCGCATGTTAGTGGACATACCTTCTTTAAAGCCATCGGAAATTAATGTAGGATAGTGGACTGCCATTCGTAAATATTTGATTATTTATTAAGTAATGTTTTAATAATGTTTGTTAATATTTAACAAAGCAAAATAAACATGCGAATTTGATTTTATTGAGCTTATCTACTACTAGCTGTATCAGCGACAGCGTCCGCGAGAATCGTTACTTTGGGCATCTAAACTAGGTTTTGCAAACGCCGTCATCTTTATAAACTTAAGCTGTTAGCCACGACATAAATCGCGTCCCTTACCGTCGTTCTTGCATGCTAATCTTAAAAGATAGACATATAACGTCCCGGGCTTTTTTTCAGATCATTTAAAGAGGAATAATTCTTTCATACACAAAAATAATTTTTCAATTCGAACCCGTAGTACCTGAGATTAGCGCGTTCAAACAAACAAATAAACTCTTCAGCTTTATATATTAGTATAGATATTAAATTCTCGCGGCACCATGTTAGCACACTCCTTTGAGACGGTTTAACCGAATTCAATGACACTTTATTTGCTTGTTATTTATTTTCACACTAGTGGTTGTCAACCAGCAATTTTCTATAATATATATTTTTTTATAACGCAGCGTAATAGTCTGTTAAGTGTTGTATATTGTTATCATGTTAGGTTACGTTATAATATTATTATTATATGTATTTTATCCCTTAACTGTTAAAGAACTTGTACTATTCCAGGTGGAATGTTTTGACTATCCAGAGCCAAAGGATCTCAAATACTTCAGAAGTTTACACAGTGGTGAGTTCTTATCTTATCATATTTAAGACCATGTTCAAAGCCAAAATAAGCATTTTGTTATTTGTTTCACTTCGTTTTTCTATCCTCCTCTGACATAACGTTTGTCTGTGAACTAATTATGAAATAATTCTTTAAAGTGGATAAGCTTCTCTGAATTATGCTCGTTTTTATATTTGTCTTCTTGAGCTTTATAATCTTGTTGTATTCCAGATTTTCGCACGAGGAGACCCAGGTACACCCCTCCGAAATACCGGTCGACACCACCCACGCGACTCGGCAGACGCTCCGATATTTTGTCCAAGAAAGATGATATAGTAAAGGAGCACGCCAAGCTAGTCCAAGACATAAACAGCCTTCGCCAAGTACTATACGTGCCACCATTGGCTGACGAGAGCAAGGATTACGAGGATTCCATCTTCCACGAGATTTTAGAGACATCAACAACGCCGAGGCCAGTTCGAACTAAAGGTATACCGATTCTGCTAGTGGGGGGCGCTTCGCAATCCATAACAACCCAGGTACCGAGGAAAAAGACGATCAGCCTAGTCGGCACGTCAGTGTCGCCAGTGAAACATCCGTATCCGTTTGAATCGCCAACCCGGTCGCCTGTAAGGATTTGCATGGCAACACCGTGGTCCAAAAAAGACACGGCTCCGCGGAGGCCAAGTCTGTGGGAGCGAATTATAAACACCATTTATCCAAGATAGGCTAATGACACTTGCGTTTTAGGACGATATTCGTGGGCTAAGTCTAAATGGTATGGAAAATAAAAGTTTGTAATACTATGACTCTATTTAGTTAATAGTGCGGCATGAATTACAGTCACATTTGTATTGAATATTTATTTTCTTTTGACATGAAACACGATTAATATCAGGATTTTTTATACGTTCTTCAGGTGTTGACATTATTTGTATGGCCTACCCGGAACATTGTTGTCAATATTCGTTGAGTGTCAGTAGTAATGCAATACATACATAGAATGTCAAAATCTTTGACTAGACTGAAAACTACCTTTCCCAAGGCCTCGGTATAGTCATGATGTAGCGAGTAGGCGATCTGATTTCTGTCTCACCCCGGCTCTAATTTTAAGAACATCATAGCTTAAACACGAATATCGTCCTAATACTTATGTAATTATTTAGTTTTAAGTATCTACATTTAATAACTTTGTGCAACATGTTTCATTAAGAAAAAAAGGGGGCTGGCCCCATCCTAAGTATGATATGAGTTATACAAACGTATATTGTGTAGTTTGGGCTAAAAGAACTTAATGACCTACGAAGCATACTACTGAAAATAAATTCACATCAAATAATAAAGGGACGAGGGGAATGCTGATTGCAGGCCATAAGCGGACTTTAGAAAAATATTTAAAAAATATATAGTTTCAATTGAGACATTTTTGATGTTCAATCTTGGCTTGAACCACTTTGTTAATTGGGCATATCCTTTTACAATATTTTAATTTGTTAATACCAATTTTGCGCTTTTATGTGTCTTAGCCATAATCTGTGTAAATAAGCTATTCTATTAAATTTACGTAGGAGAAAATAAAATGGATTTGTTTACAATGCTTTTATTTCAATTTTGAGGTGGATGACACTTCTGTTACATTGTTCGCGTAATAAGTAATAACGTGGTCTATACTAATGTTGCATGTTAGACGCGGCGCTTGATGTTTGTTTTTGCGAGCTATGATAATCACTTGTTAATTAGACTTATCCCTATTGTTCGCTTCTTATAAGCAGATTTCTCATTGTGAGACGATATGGCGCGGAGAGCGAGAGTATTTTACGCAATTTTCATTGCGTATACTATTTGTTTCTATTATACTATGGTAGATACAACTTGACTATGCCATACACTGGCAAGACTTAGCCATTGTTACACGTTATTTTAAGTTATCCACTGACTATAACTACTAAACAAAAAAAACATTATGTTTAATGTTTAATTCTCTAACATACTTCCAGTTATAACGTATTAGAATAACTCAATTTTTACACCATTCTGGGGTTATAAGTTTCTAACGAATCTGAAATTAGTTTTCTTTCTTTGTCGAAGGCAGTCAATGTGAATCGCACCCGCTGTCTTCGATCGCGTGCGTAATTACAGAATCATGCAAAACAGTGCGCTAGAAATGTATCAGGTGCGACGTACGTAACATGAAGTAGTTTTAGCCTCTAATACATCTGTCGGAACCGCTGTACATGGCCAATCATTGAAACGAAACATTTCCATCGGATAACAACACCGTCCATGCATAGAAATGCAAGTGTTGCCGGTTTTTTGTTTGAACACAAAGCCGACGAGCATTTCCTGAAACTACTAAAAACGACCGTTTCTTTATATTTTTCAATGGGAAGCCTTGAAGTATGGTTAGCCTAGTTTAAACTTATAACTTATGTTCTTATGTAATAGTACTAACTATTATACAGACAAAATCTGTGTTGGTCACTAGAGATAGTGGTATTACATTAGTTATTTTTGTGAGATCGGAAGTAAAATCTTAGCCGTGCGTTAAAATATCAATTAAATAAAAAAGAGAGAAAACGAATGTTTCTTATTTACAAAATGTTCGATGACATTTTTTATCAATAAACATTTGGCCAGGGTAGAAGATTTAAGTTTATATATTCTTTTAAGATCTTATCCTACGTGGCCAATTGCGGGAACTATTAAATGGTGTTCATATACAGATAATATTGGGCTTTTTAAAACACAAGAAACAATAGTAGATAATAAATTCACCAATTTAAAAGAAATAAAATACTGTTATAAAAGAGTTAATTTAATGTCTCAAGTTTAACATAGTCCTTAAAATAACTTACAATAAAAAAAAATAATTAGACTTCTAAATTACATTTATTTCTCTCTAGATAAGTACTTAGTCATTAGTTATGATCTTAATCTGAATGATAGAAACATTATTATAAACAATACACATCGGTCACGCAAATGTGAGATTGAAAATCGAAAGTAAGAAATGAATTGTTCTCTGGCGTACTGGCGTATTCTGTATTCTGTGGATTTAATTTGATTATATCAGAATGTACGTTTTTAAAGGATTTAAATTCGTCTGCTTATTCAAGTAAATTACGATTTCTTAACGTATTACAAATATATACGCGAAGATTACATCGCCATTACTGGATCAAGTGCTGTATTCAAATTTTAAACTGTTGCAATAGAATGCGCGAGAGAATTTACGAATTCAAAGACGTCACTTATGACTTTATTTTGTCTACAGATTACAATACATCCATATTTAATTCGCTTAATTTTACTTTGTCTAACATTATAAATTTATTATCTGTCTATTTATGATAGACATAATTCAAATTAAAAGTGTGGGCATATTGGTAGGTTTACGTCAAACAATACATTCAGTTCAATCAGAGCTGCCAACGCAAGGAAACCAATATATACAATGGCACAGGTAATACCAACTTTCCAATCGAGCTGGAATTTATTGAGAGCGAGAGAGCCATATAATGCGAATAGTGTGGATAAGAGAGATATAGCGCTATATGAGAGTCCGCTGGAGTTTATTTTCACCTGAAAAACAAAAACTCATTAGCATTGTATGTAATTGAGAATAAATATAGCTCAAAATATTTTTTTGGAAAACTTAAAGATTGACAACTTTAATATTTTTCACATGTTATTGCACATGATGGCACTATATAAATAAAAGATCGATTCGGTTCAAGCCCTGGCCGAGTCCTACATTTTAAAAATTATAATCGATATTTAACTTAAAGAATAAGTTAAAAGTCCGTTGCATAAATGTTCTTTTCGCGAGATTTTTTACTCTCCTTTAAAAATGGTTTTTGTCTGTAATAAAAATAATTATTTTTCTCACCCAATGGTTGCCAGGAATACATGGGTAAAATAGAGATTTGATGAGCCAAGGGAGGCCCAAGCAGAGTAGTATATCGAAGGTGTTCGATCCAATCGAATTGCTGATACCCATCGATCCATGACCTGGAAAAATAGAGATAAGCATATCCTTTAAGTATGTTACTGTGTTTTTTTTACAGGCAAGTAAGTTATCGGAACAATCTGAACAAAACTTCCGATGTCTTTTTTTATTAAAAAATTGTTAATATTATGATGGTTAGTGGTGTATATACGTTCAGAAAATAAAATATTACCATGGTTGGTGACAAGAACACTTGAAACCGCTTCCGGGAGGCTGGTACCTGCTGCGAGGATTGTCAGGCCTGTGATGCTGTCTGGAACGTTCAGTGTATCACCTGAAGGAAGGAGAGTTTTTATAAAAAGGTACATCTTATATCAGTAGGCTATTATCCTAATTAGGGTTCAGGTAGGGCATGGACGTATTATGTACTTTGCCATACATACCAATAATAGTAATAATCCACGCAACCACATAGGAGACTCCACCAATCCACGAAACGCACATGATGAAGGTAAGTGGATAAAGCCGAGGGTGCTGTCGACAATCTGGTATCGTTATCCAAAGCAGAAGGCACAATGGCCAACTGACAACCCAGAAGAATTTCTTTGTTGAAGATACTTTGTCCCCTGGCCAAGACCACAGGGAACTGACGCTGGATTCTGAAATTGAAAATATGCAATGAGAGAATAGCTTTTGTATAGAGAACATGGTTTGTTTTCAACCATATAGGTATGTATTACGACATTTTGTGAATTGTTAGCTAATAGATTGTCTTAGGAAAGAACATACGTATAGAAAAAACTATTTTACCAGAATCTGTAGAATTTCTTTTTGTAACTTGTGCTCCTTGTTCGACGTCGTTAATTCGCTGATTAGAGGGTGTGATTCGGTTTTCAGCATCCAAGGGCCTTGACTTTTCTAAAAAAAGAGACGGGCATCAAATCCTGCACTCAACAGTTATTGTCGTTCACAAATAATCGTTAAAAAATATACCTTTATACAGCAACGGAGTGACTTCAGTATAGGGTTTTGGCTTGCGAAAAGAACAACAACCACTCTTCACGAAGCTTCCGAGACGCCCATTGAAAACCATTGCTGGAAAACATTATACATAAAACTGCTGAACTTGTTTTTTTGCAAGTTTCTTGTGAGTTCTCGTTTGATTTCTCTCTTTGTCTCTCATTATTTTAAGTGACATACCTAGTATATACAGGGTGTACATGAGTACAAGTAGAAGAGCTTCATGCCAGTACACCATATCGTCCAGTAAAGTTAAGATTAACGCCAACACAGCAACTGCATACATGAGACAATCTCTGGAGATTGACCACCAATCCAATTCTATAACCTGAAATTATAATGCGTATAAGTACCCTGTGTACCAAGTGGAAAACGAGTAGGTATATTTCTGTGTCCGTTTTACCGTTACGCCTTGACCGGCAGTTTTTTAATTGTGTTTCCTGCTCAGGTCTAAAGTGCAACATAGAAAAACAACTATGTTTGACTCCCTATTCTGTGGAAATTCCATTCTTCTCTGTGGGACAGGGGCGTTACCAATCTGTTTCACCTCTAGACTTTCAAGGTAAGTAGTGACAACTATGCAAGGCAACCAAGGATACCCTTATACTATTAACTCCTTATGACACATTTTTTTTTATTTATTTGAATTGTACATAATAGTATTCTTATTTTTATTACCCGTCCAGCCACCAGCGCGCAGCATGCCGGAACTGCCAGAACATTGAAAACGGCTGAACCTACCACCGCACCAACACCAAGGTCACCTTCCGTCACGAATGTGCCCACGCAATTGATGAACAGCTCCGGACTTGAACTAGCAGCAGCCATAAAGGTTGCACCAGCAATGTCTGACTCCATGTGAAGACCTGTGAATTTACTAAGTGAGAACAGAAAAATAGAACCGATACGAGACTCCAACCAACTTACTTACGTATTACTTGACCAATTAGGTCGACGTCTTACCGTCTACTTAAACCACAATTTTATCACTTTTATGCTAATGTCATAGTTTTTATTTCATACCTGTCTTTAAATATGTTCGATTTATACCTGTTGCCAATATCGTCTAAGTGGGAAGTAATTAATAAATTTCCGGAATAAATAAATAACTTTCATTCAAAGAAATCATTCTCTACTATATAATACTAATCAAACATTTTATTTTATAACAAATGAACTTAAAAACATATATCATTTTTTCACAAAAGTAATAACATAGTAAATTATTATAAACAACACAAGTTTTATTACTTCATCCCAGGACTTCTTGAGGCGTCGTACCACCTGCTTGGGGCATTTCCACCACGATATAGAGGCGTCTGGCATTAGAAATGTAAAATATAATCTCATGATCTACTCAGAGAGAAGCCCAAGACGCTATAAACTAATCTATGAATGCCCTTCACATGATACGAAATTGCTTCACTGTTAATGGATAAAACGCTCGAGCACGCTACAAACTGTTATGCTGTGTCCACATTGTTGGTCACAGGGGGAATTTACGTTTTATTTAGTCCTAATTTAGAATTCTTTGAGATACTTTAGTGTATATTTATTTCTAAATACAATTTGTCAGGCTTGTTGGTCCACTGGCAACAGTGTATGACGTGTATCAGTTCAACATTTAGTTGAATATTTTTTACCAATTTGAACTCAATACATTTTGTAACATCCAATTTTTTTTTCACAGTGCTCTGAGACGGAGTGCGAGAAAAAACGACATGTCTTACTCACACCTGACGTGCAAATTCTTTCATTTAATCATACATTAAATAGTTAGTAGTTTACGCGAGTAGTACACATTTAAAGAAAATTACTTTAACGCTTTAAAATGCGATATATTTTTATAAATTCATCACGTTTTAAACCGTTAAAGTGTTTTATTTAAATAATCATACATTTCTTAGTTCACTGTACAGAAAATCCGCCTTAAGTGTGGTCCTAGTGTTACCGCGCTACTGATGAATAGAAAAGGATGATAGTATAGGCACATGATATAACTGAATCCAAGCTTAACCCCACAAACTTCAAGATGACAAACAATCATCGTGAACCATATTCATTTAACTAATTTTTTTATGTCAGTACATAAATATATGTATTTTTAAGTATGTACACCTTAAGTCAAAACAAAACTCATTTACCAAATACTTAAATACTACTTTAAACATGTCTATTGAATCCGTGCTGTGGGTACAGTACTTACGTTCACAAATCATCTCTATGGCCGGCACAAAATAATGTTCGCACACCGCACCCAGCAAGAGAAAGCAGTAGATAGCGAGGACACAATGCAGCAAAATAAATCCCTGTAAAGTACGTTGATAAATATATTAAACGATAATAGAAATAACCGGTAATCTATTTTTTCTAACACACGTGGTTCACTTGAGGGAAGGTGGAAATACCCAAACAATATAACTTCACATGATACGCTGTCGATATACATTCGGAAATGCATAGACTCGACTAAACTTCACAGCTTTCTAATTTGAGTTCGGTAGTTTGTGACTCGGACGGAATATGAATATTTAAAATATTTTAGAATAAAATCGAAGGAAGGATCGAATTCACGACTCGTTGATTATTGCAAATACTCCCATTAGACCAATCATTCGTAAATTAAATAACTACTATATATATAAGTACTGATATAATAATAAGAATGTTGTTGAGTTTTTAAAACAGTATGGCATGTAAGGTTGAGAGCGCAGGTGTCATTTTTCAAATAAACAAAGAACATCTATTACAGTTGCAAACACTTGAAAGAATCGCACTCATTGATAACTGCGAAGTGCTTGTTGCCCTTTTCTTCAATCGGTGATCATTTTTTTAAACTAAACAGACGTGGTAAAATAGAACGACCTTTGATATTATAAATCCGAAGAATTTGTTTGTTTGAACGCTCTAGTCTCAAGAACTACTGGTTCGCACTGAAAAAAAAATTTGGTGTTTTCGGAACATTTATAGAGGAAGTCTTTGGGCGATAAATATCTCGCTATGTTTATTAACATCGGAAAAATGGTAGGAAATTTGGAAAAAAACGGTGAAAAATATTCATCTTTGACGTTACTAGCTCTGAAACGGTTGAAGATACCGAAAAAATAATTTAAAAGAATTATTTTTCCTTAAATAATCTGTAAATGTCGCCGAGACAGAACAGCTCTATCTTTTAAAATTAACTCGAAAGAAGTGTTTTTATGATAATCAAGTTTGGGTCTAAATTCTTCGCGTTTGAAAACATAGTGTTTGCTAGGTCAGCTAGCCTTATATACATTAGATCGCAATTAAATTTTATTTTGGCCTAGTTTATAAAAGGAGCGGTACCCTATAAGACCTTTACTTACATGTTGTCTTTGAGTTCTATTGAGACCGTCCTGGGGAAACTCTAAGATAGCCGGTGGTGTGCAGTTCCGCCCATTCACTTCCAAGGCCAGAAGGTGACGGGATTTGAACTCGAGTTCTCCTGCGAAAATCAAGGACCCAAATCACTTCTATCACTACAAGGATCAATAATTGTGAACAATCTTCAATATTTCTGTTAATGTTGCTTAAAACCTTTTTTTTAACATAGATAAAACACAATTTATTAATTTAAACTTAGGCCAGAATAATTTTAACAAACAATAATTATTCCCGTCTCGAAACGCAATGTAAGTGAAAACATGTAAAATTTAGGCCCAGATCTCTTCTCTCATGGGAGGGGTAGCAAGGCATCGAGGTTAGCTTCCACTGCCACCTTTTTCTAAGCATCAGGCTGACCGTAGATTTTTTTCGATGTTATAATCAAAGTTCCTAATGTTGCATAAAATGATTATAAGAAGGAAGTCCGACGTAAGAAAAATAAACATGCAATAAAAACAGTTTATTAAAAAAAACTAATTATAATATTTTAGCATAGCACTCGCAAATTCATTTACGAAAACAATATGCAGTGCATTTATAGTTCGCAACAAAAAAATACAGACACACAGAGCGAAAAAAGAATATTATCTGCGTAAGTAGGCAATATCTCATGTAACGTATAGCTTTGAGCGCCACTATTTAGTTTGTATAAATGTCGTTATTTTAAAATTATAACAGACTGACAATAACCAAAGAATATCCATGGGAAACATAGATATCTTTTTCAGCAATGGCAGGATAAGTAGGATATCGAAGTTGCCGTGTGACGTCACTGTTTAGTATTACCTGTTATGTTAACGTCTGCTTTAGTCTCAGCGAACAAGACATAATGCGCGAACGGAAGTCCTAAAAACAACACTCGAATAAATACAGCCAAACTGTATTTGCACTTAGTCCTTATCAACATGTTTGCCATCAAAGCAGTGAAAAAAAAGAACGAATAAAGAACGGATAGAGAACAGGAAAACAAGAATCGAAAGAAAAGAACGAGCGGTCGTCAAATAAAGAATTCGAATATTTCGCCGTATATGCAACTCAATTTCATTGACTAAAATTTAAGGGGGTATGGGACGTAAAGCGTCCAGCCAGGTTTGACGAGTGGTGGCGACTGTCATTTATTTAATACAAATAATTGATAGATAATGCTGAGCTTCTTATCGATTTGTAAACTTGAGCAGGTAAGTAGCATTAGATCAATACGTCTTAACTAATATTTGTTTAGAGACCGAATATCTCCTATCTTTATAACTATATTACGCATTACGTTACTTCTGATATACCTAATATAAGCCTGAAGAGTTCGTCATTTGTTATTCTAGAATGTTTATGTTGAAACGTCCAAGAGGGTCGCATTAAGAACAAGAACCAATACGTTAAAAGCTCGGGAAAGTAATCAGTTAAGTGACACGTTCACTTAACGGCACTACGTGTCTTAAACGTATGTGTTTTGAGGGATCAAATGTTCTATTACCCTGTATCTTTATGATTTCTATTAAGTTAGTACTTATTAGATACATATACGAATGTTTTTCGACGAATTCATCACATTTGCTAGTTTAGCTAGACTTCGAGTTGACACTGAACTTGTTAAATGAATGAGACATTTTTATAATAGAGAACGACAGACAAGCGTGGTGGTTTGGCGAAAGGTAGCTATTTTGTTTTTGGTATTTTAGAATTTCCCAGACTGATATCAAAATGCCACATTTAGATATTCCTATCAGTCCATAATATCCAGATTATCCAGACGTTGTCTAACATGTTCAGAAAAATCGAAAAATATTATAATATATATTGAAATAATAAGACTAGAACGATAGAATCCACGAACGGTTGACGTTTAAACTTAAGAGAGTAAAAATAAATTAAAAGCATCACAGTTGAATGTATTTTAATTAAATATATACTATTTAAATAAAACATTTAAAAGGTATTTTAACTACGAAACTAATTTTCAAATAAGTATAACTGATATTTAAATGTGTTCTATCCGCGTAAACTACAGACAGTATTTAACGGCATACAAGTTGGGGGGACCTACAGAGAACATACACTACCTAGTATGTATTGTGTGTTGTAAATAGCTGCCACTGTACAAGCGAGTCCGACGAATTCATGATTAATCTCATAAACCAAAATTTATAATAACGAGTAAAACTGTTCGATAAACACATATCATTCGTGGACTTATCCTATACAAATATTGTTACAACGCAATGTAGACACGATGAAGTAAACTATTTGATAAATGCTTGATCGATAACGACGGGTCCTAAGTACCTACGGTGCATTAGTAAAGATTAGAAGTTTAAAGGGTATTATAAAACCTCTGTCACAATAGCAGGAAACGGTATTCGGAGTTTAAAACTACCCTCCTATCTTGCCTGTGTCGGACGAATTTATTTGTCACTGTAATAGAAAACTAATTTATATTTAAACGGATTTATTTCGATCACGGGTAAAAAATAAATCTCGCACGGGTACGGAATTTATTTATTTGGGTCAACATTAGAAATCGAAATTTAAGCACCTTTCCGTGGTCAGATTGATCTGAAATTTGGTTCACATATTCAATTTAGATGACTATATAGTATAATAAAATCTCCATACTTGTTTATTGTTATTTATTTATAGAAGCTAAACTAAATATTTTGATCGTTTTTTTTATTTATTGTAGAAACAACCGACAAGAAGATTAATAAAAGCATAAATTTAAACGTAAAATTACTACTCCTTGGAAAATTCATAATCTTAGAGTATTTCATTCACATCAGCTATGTTTTTATAAAATTGTATTAAAAGGTGATCATTTAGGCATGGAAGAACATCGAAATCTTTTCCGCTAATATTATTAGAATACTGACTTTCTGTCATGTATCGTGAATTTTTATCTTTTAGCCAATTTGGTGATAAGATCTTCAATTGAAACTCAAATTTGCAATTCTCAATATTTGTCTTACATGTTTATTCTAAGATACGTATAAAATATACAATAGGAATTACTAGATCATTTTTATTTCAATTCAAAAATGGGGATATTTTCCTTATTGATTTCATTACCAAATCTGTCTCTGTCATCTGTTTGTAGGTGTCACAATTTACAAAGTCCATGATAATCTAACAGAAGGTCTTTAATAAATCTTTGTTAGCGACTGTTAGAGAGCGGGTAATGCCGCGTGTGCCCGCAAAAGTGGAATCTTTATTTCTCTAGTTATCTATAGAAAATTCCATTAAAAACAACGTTTTAATCTTTAGATAAGAAGGGCTCGAGTTGAGGGGAGTTTCCACTGGTTTACATAAGGAGCGGCGCACACAAGTTAAATCTATTCTGCCTATTACAAAAGTCATGTAAAATTAATACAGAAATGAGTTTGTATACATTTAAAAAATATATTATATATAGATTGATAGTAATTGCGGGTGACACATGCGGGTCTCGAACCCGCTATAGGGGACGTAGGTTTTCGATAACGCGTTTTGATGTACTGTAGTTTAAATCCAGTAAAATTGTATGGGTGAAAGAAACCAATTCATCTGTTTTACCGTGTTCTACAGACACACATACACACTTGGTGAGCACAATGTCACCTCCGATATTAAATTACCAAATATCAAAGCACGGGACGTGTACCATTACATGACCCTAATTATCGTTTGAGTCAGATGAGGTTGAACCCAATAAAGTAATTAAATTTAATTGTAGACGCGTGCGTCGCTCTCTTAGTGCGGAGAGCGGCCGTTTAAAGGTTAAATCGTTCTATATTTCGGCACTGATAATCATTCTAATGAAACACTTTAAATGCTTTTCATTATTTTCATGACATATCAGCCTGGCACCACGATTATTTTAAAGCACGCGAAATTGCATAAATTGCCTTTATAATCAATACTTCTATCTATACTAATATATAAAGCTGAAGAGTCTGTTTGTTTGTTTGAACGCGTTAATCTCAAGACCTACTAGTTTTAATCGAAAAATTATTTCTGTGTTTGTTAGAGCATTTATCGAGAAAGGAATAAGGCATCGCTGTGACTAATAGGAGCGAAGAAACAGCGGGAAAAAAATTAAAAATCTCTGTGGGTTTCCGTGGAGCGTACATCCACGCTGCGGCAATGGCAATTTTATACAAACAATATGTCCCCAACATTATATGTCTATTTTTTGAGATTAACGTGCAAGAACGACGGGCCGATGTCGTGGGTAATAGTTTAAATTTATGAAGATGGAGTCGCTGACACAGCTAGTCCTAAATATGTAGCGGAATATAAAATTTATATAGCCAAATATTAAGATTTGTAAATAACGAAACTAATATTGTAAGTGGTGTAATTATTGTTACCAGAAGCAGTTTGTTCTGTTCTGTATGTGGTGGGCTTTATGGTATTTTTTTTGAAACTGATTCAATTATTATTATTACCATCAAATAAAACTTTATTCCAGAGATTCCGGATTTGAATCGGGAACTTTTTTAACGCAATGCTAAGCAACGGTTTAAGTATACCACGTCACTGTTTTTTTTACTGGGGCATTTTTATTAGTCTTAACAGAATAGAAGCAAGAGACAAACTTCTTCGCATCGTTGTTTTTTTTTATTTTTTATTTATTCTCTTACAGTTTCAGCTAACGTCTAAAACTGTTAAATGTTTGTAATCTTTAAATAGTAAAACTATTGCGCCGATATTAAAAATGTATCCGCCATTAGAAAGCTACTGTTATAAGAATTTATATTGTTTTATTAGTGTAGATAAGATTAGGGATCCTTATTAAAATTTTCGAAACGTAAGATAAGATGTAAATAATACCATTTAACACATTTCGACAACACATAACGACTTTTAAAGTCTTAGGCGTTGTTAGAAACACCAACAAAAAAAATTGTTTTAATACTAATCCAATTGAATTGTATTGTATACGTATGTGTCTGTTTTAATTAAGAATTTAATGAAATAATTTAATTAAAACATGACAGAATTGTTTTTCAGAACAGTTCGCGTCGGTCTCTTTCGCGGGGTTCACACGAAGTCTTAAGTTAGATAAGATGGTGTAAGAAATCGCATAAGAAACGGCTACTCACTTGCGCCGACTGCGACCGCCGTCGAGCCAAGACGGACCCTAAGCGCTGTTCAACCCTAACACAATCAATTTAAGTCAGCCATTGGTCCTTAATTCAATACAATTAATGGCAATTCGCATAGAACTCGGCAGAGAGTCAGTCGGGCACACCGAGTGCCGACGTTTGCAATTGGACGTATTCTCCTTTTGACGGGCGTATTATGTGCCGCTGTGCGTCCCTGTTTGGACGACTGTAGCTGCCCCAGCATCTTCCGTCGCCACAATGAGTGCCTCCGGTACGTAATAGTGTTAAAGTGAGTGACCGTGTGGTGCCAAGTACGCCGGAGGCAGGTATGTCCAGGGTGTGGCCCGTATACCCGCCACACCTTATCGATTGCACAAATCGGTCTATTTTTAGTGACCGCTGGCGCAGGTATTGTTGCGAATTAGGTGATCTTCACTCCCGTGGCCTTGCGATGGCGGGACGTAATGTAAATCCGTTGTTTCTAGTATCACGGAGTGTGCATGTTCTACGTTTTAGATTCAGCGTCAACGTTCAAATTTGGAGACTACGTTCGAATTAACTAGAGGCTTTTAACGCGTTGCATTTTGGACTACCATTAAGCGAACAGTGTGTTTGTCCACACAAATTGTCACATTTATGATTCACTTATTGTTTCATACAATATATAACTCTTAAATTTGCCATAAAATGTAGGCATTTCTAAACAATCAAACACCGTCATTCAAATTCTGGGGATATTATAGTCTCTGTCGGATAGGGATAGTAGAATATTTAATTGTTTGTAAATAAAAGTGATCAGTGAAACAGACACAGACATGTGTCTACCCTG